CAAAAAGCGATTCGGGAAACACTTTTTCCGTAATACCCGCATCTGAAGAAAAATATATATCCTTGACAATCTCAGTCTACATAAAAACGTACACGGACAAAAACGGAAAAATCAAAAAACTCTACGAAAATCTGAGATTCATCGATTCGTATAGGTTCATGCTAGCATCGTTGGCAAAACTTGTCGATAATTTGCCCAACGAAAAGTTTTTTCTGCTGGAGAACTATTTTGAAAAACTCGGCCACTCAGGTGAAAAAGTCAGTCTGTTGAAACAGAAAGGGCATTACCCCTACTCATACTTCAACTCATTCGAAAAATTCCGAGAAACTCGCCTTCCCCCACGAGCAATGTGGAAAAATAGTCTAACAGGAGGGGATGTGAGTGTTTCAAGAAACGAGTACAATCATGCCCTTAAAGTTTTCACCGAACTGAAGTGTGGCTCACTTGGTGATTACCACGACTTGTACTTGACTACAGATGTGCTATTGCTTGCTTCCGTTTTCGAAGCTTTTCGTGAAGTTTGCTATCAAACATAAGGGCTGGATTGCGCCTGTTACTTCACGGCAAGTAACCTTTCCGGGGACGCCTTTCTAAAAGTTTGTAAGCCCGAACTGAAACTCTTAACGGACCGTGAACATCTAGACCTTGTGCAGCGAATGATACGAGGAGGCATGTCGTCGGTTTACGCGCGCCGATTTTACAAAGCAAACAATAAATACCTCGACGATTTTTCGCCCTCAGAACCATCAAGCTACATCCTCAATATTGATGCAAACAATTTGTACGGGGGGATAATGAAACACTGCCCTTTACCCTTGAACGATTTTTCAATAGTTGAAAAAAGTCTGGCAGACATACTGCTCACCAGCGAAACCTCAGAGTGGGGTTATATAGTTGAAGTCAATTTAACCATACCCGAAGAGCTTCACGACTTCTTTGCTGATTACCCCCTTGCCCCCTCTCGTGAAGTAGTGGACATCGGTGCAATGAGTAACGAGCAAGTCGACATGTTGGGAAAATTGGGAATCACCACACTGCCAAAAGTGCCAAAGCTTCTACAGACCTTGCATCCTAAAGAAGGTTATGTTTTGCACTACCTTACCCTAAAATTGTACCATGAGCTGGGAATGAAAATAACTCACCTCGGAAAAGTTCTTCAGTTCCGCCAAAGTTACTGGATGGCACCCTTTGTCGACCTCAACACCCGCCTACGAAAAGCCGCGGTAAATAAATTCCAGGAGAACTTCTACAAGCTAATTGTTAATTCAGCTTTCGGTAAGACAATGGAGTCTAAGTTAGGAAGAAAGAAGCTGGAGATTGTAAGGAATGAGAGAGAACTTTTACAAAAAACAGCTCTGAGCACAATGAAAAGCTTTCAAATCATTGACGATCAATTAGCCACAATTAGCTTTTCAGTAACAAAAATATTGTGGGATAAACCTATGATAGTTGGTGCAACCATCCTAGACCTCGCCAAGCGTTTCATGTTTCAGTTTCATTATCGAAAAATGAAACCAAATCTAAACTTGGAACTCCTTTACTCCGACACGGATAGTTTTATTTACGCCATAAGAACTGATGACGTTTACCGAGACTTGGAGAAAATAAAAGCTGATTTCGACTTTTCAAATTACGATAAGGACCATTTCTTGTTCGAGGATACCAACAAGAAAGTTGTGCTGAAGTTCAAAGACGAGACTGGTGGGAAGCCGATCAGAGAATTCATCGCCCTAAAACCGAAACTATATTCGGTCGTCCTTAATGGTAAATAAAATTTAAGCCACCCTTCCACCCCCCATTCCTACCTTTTACAGAACAAAAATACCACCACCAACCTACCTACACCCCTTAATTTGTTGCATTAAACTATGGGCATTTAGCTGATTTAGGCAACATTATACAATGTTGCCTAAACGTTGATTTATCTGACAACATATTCCCTCTTTTTTCCTCTTTTTTAATAATAATTTAGAGTCTTCTGCTCTTTTTTGGTAAAATGAATCAAATTTTGTTTGGAATTAATTGAGTTGCTGAAGTGAAATGAAGCTATCCCCTACGTTGTAGAAAAGAATAATAATTTTGCTTCTGTTTAGAAGGCACTCAAAAATTGAGTGCCAAAGGAATTAAACGGAGTGCACAGAGAGAACTGGTCCACCAAACCTTCAGGGACACATTATTCACTGGAAAAACAATGAGAGTGTACAACTACAATATAGTTTCGAAAGGTCACACCAATATGACAGTGAAACAAAACAAACTTGCATTATCACCATTCGACTCAAAACGTTTTCTACTTTTCGACGGAATTTCGACAGTGCCCTTTGGTCATAAAGCCGCTGAAGAAAATGCTTTTCTAGAAGACATTTACATGGACACCGAGTGGGCCAACTCATACAATGAAACTGATAACAGTTCTCCCGATTTTACACTTCCGGATTGGGGATTTTTACAGCGGCCCTACTCAGAAGCAGAGCTGCAAGAAGAAGAAGAAGCTTCTAGTAGCCGAGTCCGTGAACGTCCCCCTATAAAAAACCCATTTATTTTATCTGAAGCTTCAGAAGAACGACCATCTAAAAAACAACGCAAAGAAAACCAAAACAATAAACATTAAAGTCTGAAACATTTATTTTCAGATGATTTTTACTGTTCGTCCTTTTTATACTTCGACTTGTATATGTTTTGGTTTTTACCAATTTACAACTAATAAAATACTCGTATTGAGCTCAATCACTGTTTAAACATAAATAGCTTCAGGCAAATAAACTAGTAGACGCAAACCAAGTGTTAATTCAAACAAATGTGTGAAATCCTTAGGCTTGTTAACAAACTTTAATAGCATGACAAATCTTTGACGAAAAGAAAGAAAGCCAGGAAATGATATCCACATGAAACTAGGACGAAAAAAGAAAAGTTCAGGAATTAGGTCGATTAATTTTAATTATCGCGGGAAAAGGGACCGCTTTCAAAGGAATTAGAAAGAATTTTGTATCGTGTCCCTTGTTGTTAAGCTAAACTTAGCAAGATCCTAAGTAGGGGGTCTTCTGCTTTTTGGGTGGAAAATTTCTTTCGTTTACAAAATCCTAGGATAGGGGTCCTCCAAAAAATTAAGGACCCCTTTCCTAGGATTTTGCTTTACGTGAGGACCCCCCTTAGGAAGGACCCCCCCCCCCCCCCCCCCTTAGGATCCGGGACACGATACAATACTACTGCGGATTTATTTATTGAAATTTTTCATAAAAATTACTTTTACAGTAAAATAAAGTAAAAAAAGACTCTAATTAAATCAGTCTCTTTTACAGAAACAAAACATAACTTCGCAAGATTTGCGATACCAGACAAGCATAACATTGTAAGCTAGCAGATATAGAAAGAAAAGAAAGCCACCAAATCAAAAACAAAACTTTCTTCTATTTAAAAATCAGGCCCTGGCCGAGTTCGAACCTAGGCCTTTAGACTTTCTAGTAGTTTTCACCTCTAGGCCAGGGTTGCTGGAGAGTAGCTATAAAAACTGACTTTATTATCAATCAGGGTACCAAATCAAATGATTTTGTTTAACTATTAGTTAACCTTAAAATATCATTTTTTTTTACTTTCGTATACAGTTCATAATCCAATTGATCACGCTTGCTTCTCACAAGCCTTAGAAAAAATATCATACCAAATAAAATTAAAAAATGAAGAAAAGCAACTTGAAGAAGAGTGACTAAGAACTAAAAATTAAACAAAAATTTTAAAAAAATGAAATTTTTTTTTTTTTTAAAAACCAAAAAGTTTAACTTTAAAATTTTGCAGTGTTTTGCAATAGTTGAATCGAAATCACCTGATATGACTGTAAATTAGACTAGGAAAGTCTAGGATACGACTGGAATTTAGACAAGGAGATGAACAAGCCGAGAGAGTTGAAGCCGACATTAAAACAGCAGAAATTTACCCAAAATTGTTTGGCAACTCTAAGTAAAACTCATGTTGCAATAATTTGCATGCACCGCCTACACAGCAAAACGTATGAGCCCAATAATTTTCATGCAGTTGATGTAATTAGTTCATGAGATGAATGATTTTACTATTTCTAATTTTACCATTCTGTGAACAAAGTTACATGGAAAAATGTATTTTATAATCGTTTGATCAATTTATAAGATAATTTGAATTTATAATCAATTTATTTCGCGCTCAAATTCAGTGTAATTTTCAGAAGAAAACTTTCCACCTGAAAAAATGATCGGCTCACCGTTTGCCTGCTTGATTACTGTCGAATAAGCTGACACTGGGCAGAAGTTTCTCCTGATTTAAGTTCTTTCCACGATAATTTTTGATTTTGATTTATTTCTATAATTGTGCCGGTATTTGAGTTTTTTCTGATTTTAGGTCTTACGACAGTTTTTTTTGTCTTTTGATGTACCCTTTTTTGCAAAAAAGCAATGAATGGTGCCTTTTTTAATATTTTCATGCTGGCCATTATCAGATAATTTGAAAGAGTGAATTTAACTGCTTCGAAATATTTGAAAAAAAAAAATCCGTTTTTCTCTTTTTTTTCCACAATTGATTCATGATTTGAGTTTTCGAAATCATTTTTTAAAGTCATAAGTGAGTTTTAAAAGTTGCTTGCTGGATTGAGTTGAAGAATGTCTGGTTTCACAACTTTTGGAAAAAAGTTGAAAAATGTCAGTTTTTTACTGTCAACGCCTGAAAACTGTCATACTTTTTCTGAAGCAAATGATTCGAAGCTCGTCTTTGTTTTGTTATTCAAATTAAGTAGCAATCTCACTTGGCATCTCTCGGCATTACTTCGCCACGCAGATCTAAGCTTTTCCAGCGGAGGGAATCTACGATTTTCAAATTGGGGTCTCCTTGGACTTTCAGGTGTCTTTGGATATGTACGTATCCGTCCTTTTGAAATCTCTGAAAAAGAGAAAAATCACTGATCGGAGTTCTTTTACCTTAAAGTTTAATGTTTGAAAACAAGTTTACTTAAAAAAATTAAATTATGAGCATGAACTTTTAAATAATAAAATAGCTTCAGTTGTGATTGACTTTTTGGCCTAAAGCTTAGACGAAGACCTTGTTATTAGATCAGATGACAAAATAGGGCAGTTGCTGTTTGGGATACAAGCTAAAGCATCAACAAAAGTTGGTACAACTCGTAGTTTTTTCTCTTGTTCGTCCCAGTTGTTTTGCAATTGGTTTTCGATGTCTTGTCTACAGCAGAGCACGATGAGATTCTGACAGCTGAAGGATAACAGCATCTCCTAAAAGTTCACGTCAAATAAGTCGCAGGAAAAGGCGATACTGCGATATTTTAGAATTAAAAAAAAACCAATTCAAGAAAACCACCTTGAAACTTTGTCAAAACTAACAACTGATCTAAAGACGAAGCGGGAATTGTTGCGTTAATTGCAATACAGAAAGATAAATCATAAGCAAAAATAATTGGCCATAATGAAAAACGTTCAATGCATTCAATGCATAATGGGAAAAACTTTCAATGCATAATGAGACAATTTATGATGGACATTTTTTTGTTAAAACTACCCCAATTTGAGAAAACTGGATCATTAGGTAAAATTTTTATTTCGCTGGGAAATATGATAATTCATTTCCATTTTCGAAATTAGAAGGCGATCACATTTTTTGTGCCCATTACAGTTTTGCTGTTCGATAGTGGAGTTTGTCTTCCTTTTAACAATAGAAATGCATTGAACTTGAAAAGAAATCACAAGTCAAACCGCGAAAAATCGAATTTTCCTGAAAAAAAATCAAGACCTATATAAGAGTACTCACTACATTCATTATGTAAAAGTACAAACTCATGAAACTCGGTTACCTGCAAAATTACAAATACAATATAAAGCTAGCTGAATTGGAAAAAAGTTTCTGAGTCTTCAAGCAAATTTCAAGCCTTGGAGCAGACAAACGATAGTCCTACAAAAGAAAAAATTACAGATCGAGTCAGGAATCAACCTAACTTTACAGACCCAAATTACAAGTCACTTCTCTCGCAAAAAAAAAGATTAACAAAAAATAGTTGTCCAGAATCAAGAACTTTCTGGAGAAAGGTAGAGTCAAGAAATTTCAGAAAAATCTGATTTGTTACTTCTTCCAGTTTGTATGTCCTGAGTTCGCGTGAAAAAAAACTCTTGGGAATCAGAAGATTTTAGAGTTCCAGGGTCGAGGTCCGCAACCAGTGTATTCTATTGCAAACCTGTGTATTCTATTGCGAGACTTTCGCAACCAAACTTTTGGTATTCCGAGACTTTCGCAACCAAACTTTGGAATGTTCAAGCTTTCGCAAACAAAAACTTAGCATTTCAGGACTTTAGCGACGCAAAAAAACATCGTATCCTTCACCGCCGAGATGAAGACAGCTCAACTCAGGCAACAGCGCGACCGGTGCAATCCGACATGTAGCGGCGTAATCAGAGTAACCTTTTCCAGATTTTGCGACGTGAAAATTCCGCAGCGAATTTTGCGACCACAGAGAAGACAGCACGACGAAATGATAAATTTTGACGCCAGAGTCAGGAAAGGTGCAAACGTCTGGACATAAAGACACGAAAGCTTGAAAATTTGCAAATGTCTGGACAGAAAGTGGTGACCGTTTGGGGAGGAAAGTAGCGAAAATCTGGATATAAATTCGCAAAAGGCTGAAATCTGAACATAAAAGGGGACAGTCTGAAAAGTCGCAAAGTCTGTACTGAAAGATGCGAAAGTCTGAAAAGCTGCGAAAGTCTAGACAAAAAGTAGCGAAAGTTTTTCGAACTTTCTATTTGTTATTCTTTTCATATTTTTTAGGCTGAAGTCGTTCTTATTGGATCAGCTATTTCATCGGACTTGTTAATTCTTATCGGACCACCTCATTCTTATCGGACCAGCTGAAGTTTAATGTCACAAGTTATAGCGGTTCTCTTTCAATTCCCCCTTTAAGTTTTTCTGAACAATATTTGAAAGTCTCTTTAAACTTATAAACTGCATTGAAACATAGCAGCGTGAACAGGTGAACAATGGTTAAACAATTTCTCACATGCGAAATGACGTGTAAAATTTTTTGAACAGTTTAATTTTGTAATTTCGCAAGGGGGTGGGAAACTGGAAAAGAGCCGTTATAGCTTAAAAAGTAAAACAGTTCAAAGCTTTTTTCTTGTTTTTCGTATAAAGTTTTTTCAGTTGGATGTTGCTTCTCGAACTTTGGCTTAGATCATTTCAAATTGTCGCGCGGATGCGGATGTTGCGTAATTGCGACTTTATCCTCAGACTTTTGCGACCCCATATTAGGTACGAAAGGGAGGAAATTGTTAAAAAGATCGCTTTCGGTACCCATGGAGCTCTTTCGCGACTTTATGTCCAGACTTATCAGACTCAAGTTCTCGGTGCGACTATGCAATTTGAACCTAGATCCGGACGCGGCACGACTTTTAAAGTCTGGACATAAGTGTGGGACCTCGAATCGGGTAGTATCATAGTTGTTTGCATGAAAATAGTCCAAGCTCCAATAGTAATAGGCTTTTAATAGCAAATATACCAAATTAAACGCATCGCTATATCCGTTTCGCTCGACCGAAAACCGAAGTAGTTTGATTTGACCAGTGCATCTGAGATAAAAGAGACTTTTTCTCCACTCAAATGCACTCTTTCAGCAGTTCAAGTCTAGCTGTTTTTGCTAACCAGACTATTCAGTCGTGCAAATTTTGCAGGACTAAGTTTTTGATAAAATGAATTACAAAATTGGTATCTGCCTACACTAAAGCGCTTAACTTACTTGAAACTGCTTCATTCCGATGTAATCGAAGTACGCAACGTGATTCAAATCCAGTATGAAATAGACTGTTTGGTCTACATGTTCAGAAGTTGTTTCGTCGCCCTCAACTGATAAATGAACGTCATTCTCTTTTTCGTCCTGACAAGTTCTTTCTTCTTCGTCGATTTGAGAATGCCCATTTTGAATGAGGTTCACGTACCCTTCGTCCAAAAGTGGCTCATACTTAATATTTTCGGCCGAATTTTTCTTTGGACACAAAATAAATCGTTTTCTAGGTTTCATATCGGAATCATTTTTACTCGAGTTTTTGGTTATAAATGAAACCGTTTCGTCACCATACGAGCCTGGCAAACGCTGTTTTGTGTATGACGTAATCGCTTTTGTAATATAGTCGACTGTTATGGAGCTAATGGGTCCAGTTACTCGTAAGGCGAAAAACGGGGCGCTGGTCAAAGCTGAATTACTGAAACCATTACAAAAGTTCACTTCAGTTTTCTGGGCTAAATCGGAAATAGTATCCTTTTCTACTAGAAGGTCAGCAGCTGTATTAGTTGTTTGTAACACCTTAACTGTAGCTTGGTTCTGAAGGTATAAATGTCGAAAGATGGAAGCACAGAAACCGACAAGAAGACCTAAATACCAAAATAATTTATTATTTTTTTAATATATCACAATCTAGCTTTTAGTCTCAAAGATACCTGCATTTATCTTAATAATTATATCGACCACAAAATCAAGAACTAATTTTTACTGAACTTCAAAAGTAACTTAAAAAATCGGATTTACTGTAGAAAAATCTTTTTAAGTCGGACTTACTATAAAAATCATAAGAGAAAATTTAATGGCGGTTTTGTGGTTTTTTGAGGAATAAATGAAAAAGTGTCGAAAATTTTGTTGGAATCTTTTCTTACCAATTTCACACGAGAACACAAAGGCCATTGCAAATGTCACCAGCCAGACCATCAACTCAAGTTTTGACTTCCTATACAGCTGTGGAACATCTTTGAACTGCTTGAACAGATTGCGAAGAGCAGTTACTATGATAGCTGCTAGAACTGCCATAGGAATGTATCCTAGGGCAGAGCGGAGAAGCAGGTAGGCCACCACCATGAAGCAAGAAGATATCACTCCGGTCAGTTGGCTCCTGGAAATCAACTTTGAAATGAAACTGAAGGCATTAGGTTTATAGCACCAGAAAATAGCAAAAAAAAAGGATTTTTTAATGTAAGCAAGCGCAAAAGCTCAGTAAGTTTCGGTTTCCATTTATAATGTGTCTCGATTAGCTTTGAAACAAAAAGGTTAGTGTTCAAGAGTAAATGATAAGATTAAAATTTTCCGCCCCACAGATAATACCAATTACCAGGTACAATGATTTGCGTTTTATAGTGAATTAATAGGAACAATTTAATTTTGAACGAACATCCCTTAATAAAATTATTAACCCATAAACTTTTCATTTTCTCAAATATCTGAGCAGCAAGACTGCCCTGTAATGTATCTCATGTTATTTCCTAGCAAACAAAGTGACAATAGCTTACTGGGTCAATCGGTAAAGTTATTATTCCCGTGGGAAATCTGGAAATTCAAGCCCACTTTCTGAACTGGAATTGATCACGTTTTTTGCGACATTTGCTTTTTTGCTGTTCGACAAATAAACAAAAACTTATATACGAGTCTTCACTGCTTTCAATGACTAAATTTTTCAATATTTTTTAAAAAGTTTCATTTTTTGAACTCCTTCAACAACTCTACTTCAATTACAGAGAAATATATATTTCGTGCGTAAGTACGACACATTTGGATCAATTAGCTGGCCATATTCTTTGAAGAAAAGTTAAAGTAACAGATATTGTTGATTCAAATGTCGAAAGTTTTCTGGAAACACTATTCCGAGCACAATTGTTTTATTACTTGTTAAGAAAGTGGGGACAACAAATATAGCGTTTTTCTAATCACCCAAATTAAGCAAAAAAAAACTTGCGTGCCCAAAAATACAGACACCGATAATAATTTAAAAATGCTTCACCTGCAATGATTCCGAAACTTACGGGGCTTTGGAGGCTACCAAATTGAGATAATTATGCGAGCAATGTTTCTGTTTTTTTTAACGCTTAGCTTAGGCGGCTATGTAATCCAGCTCAAAAATTACTCCAAATTGAATTGAGGTAGGCTGATTAATCCCAAATTGTGCTTCAATAGACAGAGAAATTATCATTTTGTATTTGATATTGTGCGTCAGGGACAAATCTGTAGTTTTCCATTTTTTTCCGAAAAGTTAAGCAAGATTCACATTCAAAGCTTCATCTTGATATGCACAGTTTTCTTCTAACTTTTTGAAAGCCTAAACGATAAATCCTCAATTTTATTTAAGACATTTAATTATTGAATCAGGCATAGCAAAAATTTCACGATTGGAAACACTTTCGACTTACTTTGCCTCGTTTTCAAATAAGACAACAGATCGAGACAGAGATACAGTTCCAGGGTAGCATGAGAACCAACTGGCCACGAAATTAGTAAAACCAGCAGCTAAAATCTCCTGATCGGCTCCTGTTTTTGTTTTCTTCTTTTTCAAGTCTTTGTTCTTCGAATTGAACACTTTGATGAAAGATAGATGCATAGATACTGTTACAATTGATAGCACCAAAGCAGCTTGGAATATTTTGAACGAGAACCGATAATTTGGCGGAATCGAAGTTGTCTGGAATCGAATCTGTCCAACCGACGATATCCCAAAATTTTTGTCTAATTTCAACGAATAATTCAAAAACGCTGCAATGAAAACAACTATGAAATCCATCGGAAATTCGACATACTTCCATCGCTTTTTTAACATCTGAACGATCGCTTTTGAAGGTAGCAACAGTGATAAACTGCAGAAAAAAATTGAAAACTCCATAAAATTGAACTTCTCTATATTTTCACCAGCTTCGTAAAGTTTCCCTAAGACTGGAAATTCTGATGGTGGTATTCTGTTACTGTGAGTAATTCCCGAAGATCCAAAAAAGACATTTTTAATTTGGCTTGAACCAATGTGAAATGCAACAGCTGTTGTAAAAGCTCTAACCACAGTTTGGTCCAAAAATTGAGCAATTTTTCCGAAGTTAAGCACCATCATACACATTTGCGTTAGACCCATGATAAGCGAAAGAGATGCGCCGATTGATATTCGATCTGTTTCCGAACAAGCTTCCGGTAACACGCAGATTTCGTCAATTGAGTCGCCGACAAGCATGCTCAAAAGTGCGAAAGTTCCGAACGAAGCCGTTGGGCAAGTTCCCATTATAGCGTACAAAAGAGGCTGAATAATTGAGATATATATTCCTACCACTGGTGGCATTTTGGCTAGAATAGCGTAAGCCATACATTGTGGAATAACTAAGGCCGTTAATATTAGAGCTGCATTTATGTCTAGCAGTAAGTTCGACTTGAACGAGTAATTTCTAAACGTCGGGAACAGCTGAATGTTTGTGATTTTTGCTAAGAGCCATTTAACAGGGAATGAGGGGTTGCACGATAACATATCAGAAGATATAGTAGTTGAATGGGTTCGAGTACTGTCGTTTGAGTACTTCTTGCTTCCACTTTTCCCATTTTTCTCGAATAAATCGTTGGTGTAAAATGCATCTCGTTCAATATTAACAATTCCTTTGACAACTTTCACTTCAGATGTGCTGTGAGGTTTATCTGATGACGTCATATTTTTTATTGACTGTTGTGATTCTGATTGGCAGTTGAGGTTGACTCCTGGAAGCGAAACGTTAGACACGGCTGCTTAGCTGAAAAAGTGAAATAGATGAATTGTGGAAATGTGGAACTTAAGAATGGAATTAATCCCAAGGGCATCAAGCAGCAAGAAGTCTTTTCCAATTTTAATCCAAATGGAACTGCGGGTTTCTAGATGCTTTTTTGTTTATTTCGCAAGCAAAACGGCAAGAAAAAGTCACAGGTATTCCAAAAGCTTTTTGTTTACCAAGAGTAAATGATTAAAATAAGGCAAACTTAAAGTTCATAAAATGATGCAAAATGGATACACAACCTTCGGCTATAAATTAAAATTTGACACAAACTATAAAGGAAAAAACACGCAGAAATGTTTTTAAAAGTGAATTATAACAACTTGCTTCCTGTCTATGAAACAATTTTGATTTGGAAACGAATTTCAATCAATTTATATGGGGGTAAAAAGCACAAGTGGTTTACTTAATCGATTAAAATTTGTGTTCAAGGGAAGCCTTGCTGTTTTTTGGAGGTTTAGGATGGCATCACACCATTTTGCTTTTGTTCATCTGCTTGTTTTGAGAGCAATTTATGCAACTGATACTGTGAAAAGCCTTTTTATTATGCAATGGCAGGGGATTGAAGTTTGTATGAGCCCACTTTCCTCAGATAAAATTACCTGATGATAATAACTACAGTGGCTATCGCACTAATTTGAAACGAATGCCAAATCGCCGCTGATGAGAAAATGTGTTGTAAGTTTAATCAAGATAGGATTAAAACTGTCGTTGATTATCTAACTTTTGATTGCTTACTGGAATTGCAATTTCCTTAAATTGGACCATGAATCAAAAACTGTTACAGAATTGAAAAATTGAATTAGATCTCGTTAAACTCAACGAACAAAAAACAGAATCTACAAGGGATCAAAGAATCAAAAAAAAAATTTGAATTACATATCGTAAAACTTGGGGAAAAAATACATCAAACTCGGGGAAAAAATACAATAGAGAAGGGAATAAAAAAATGGAATTAATTAGATATTGTAACACTCAAGGAAAAAATACATATAAACTACGTAAAATAAGGAATTTGTTACCAAACAGGTTAACCCTGAAAGAACCACTAACTTTAAAATATCAGTTCGGGTTAATGAAGTTTAGTTTCAGAGTATATTTTTGGTTTTCGCCTGAACATAAATCTTAAGAGTAAACTGTAAAATGTTTTTGGAGCTTGCTGAAAATTTTTTTTGCCTTTGACCCGCATTTTTTATTTACCAGAGCAACGTTACAACTGAAAGATTATCTCTTTAATTCTTTTGAAGACTTTGAAAACCGAAGCAGTTTACTTACTCGAGATGATTAGCGGTAAATTTTCCATTGAAATTTTTATTGACCACATAATTTTAAGCCCATAAAATTGACGATAATGGTCTATTGGTTTCAAAATTCCAGGTTTCAGGAGACTGTTATCTGAAAGAATTTCTCAATATAACCGCAAATATATCGCTTCTAAAACTGGTCTATTGTAACCCAGCTCAAAAAAAGTAAGGAATGAAGACAAAACATTCTTCTTTCAGCTCTTTCTGTGTTGAATAGACGTGAAAACATCTGTTAAGCTAGAAGAAATTTTTCCATTCAGCGTGCAACACGCGTGATCGGAGGAAAATCAAAGGCTATGCACACTAGTCGAAGAATGAAACAGCCGAAAATGATAAGCAGTGTGTCAATATTCGTGTATTTTTATGAAAAAAAGTTAGATAATACGATATGCAGATGGCAACGAAAGTTAAGTAGTTTTCGGCTGACTGTACTTAATTTTTGGTTTTCCTGCCACCCGAAACAAAGTGATTGTTAGATTAGGTTCTCAAGTATGCGAGTGCATATGTTGATAAATGGCACCAATAATAATAAGAACAAAGCACAGAAACATTTGGTATGTTTTTTCATTTTTTTTGCTAGTATGACAACGTTTCAGTGTTTTGGCTTCTACCAGATATACGGCTCCTTGTTTTTTCATTTATTACCAAAGTCATTTCTAGGACTAAAATTCATACGTACAAAGGGTTTTCAATTCAAACCAAACAACCATGCTATTTATGACCATGCTCGTTTTGCATAGCTTGTAGGTATTATCTTGATAAGTTTTCGTTTTTTTTTCTAAACCGACAAAAAAATAGTTTTTTGCCTTTTTTTACACTTTTTTGAAGATAAAACCAAGATACTGTGTGGCAACAGAAAAAAAAGAAAAAGCCAAAAATGACTATAATTAAGTTGAGCATGATAATCCTATACTTCCTCGTGTCGAGTTGAGTCATTTTTTACTAATTTCCATCCAGGTTACCGGCATATTCTAGCCAATGGGTCTTTTAGACCGAATAACATTAGAGCGACTTCAGATCAATATTTTAAAAAATCAAGTACAGAAATATTGTTGGTGCTGGATTATTTCTTAGAGCCGAAATAATTCTTGGTGCCGAATTAATTCCTGGAACAGGATTATTGTTGGTACCGGAATATTGTTGGTACCGGATTATGGTTGGTGCCGGATTATGGTAAATGGTTTTCGCGAACAAAGAAGACTTTCTAAAACATTAGATTTGAATTCCACTCTACAGAGGGAATCTAATTATGGGATCTTGTTAACTATCCCCCCCCCTATTTCGATTTTCAGAAATTCAACTTTGGCTATCACATTTTCAATAACTTGAGACAGTTTTCAGAAAATATATTTAATTAAATTTTTTTATGTGAGTACTATATAAATAGTAGCTAATACAAATATGAACGCGCAAAAATAAAAACCCAATTATTTTTTGACATTTTTGAAATCATTACGAGGCCAAACTGTGCACTGGATAGGCGCACATTTTTGTGTCTGTGTGTTCCTGGATTCCAGAGACAAGTCTTTAAACATGTTAAAATTTTGTCGGAATGATCAAAGGAAAGTAAAGAACAAAAGAAGAACAAAAGGAGCGTCCTTGTTGCGGAATCCCCTCACAATGCACAGTTTGGCATCGTAATGATGCATATTTTATACAGAAATGTCTGTCAAAAAAATACATGCATAGGGGGGGGATAGTTAACAGGGTCCAAAGGGGGGGGGAGTTAACAAAATCCGAATTATGTACCATAAAAAATTGTAGATTGTTTTTTATTCGGAAAAACCATAAAGCATTTTGAGTCTTCTGCACTAAACGGCATAAAATCATTAGTTCTACATGTCTTAAACTGAAATGAATGTGGTTGAATCTGATTGGCGAATTAACCAATCAAGTTCCATCGACATTTTCTTGCTATTTCCGCTCTTTCCTACTCCCCCACATTTCAAATTTTCAGTTTCTACAATTGTCTTACTGTGATTATATTAGTTAGTTGGTAAGTTAGTTTTTAAACTACAATATTCAAGGGGGAGTGCAAAAGAGCCCAATTGAATTTTCAAGCAGTTAAAATGGATCTACTTAACAATCTCCCCTCCTTCAGGAAAGGAGGAGAGATTGTTAAGAAGATCAAAATTGTCGATTTTTCGACCAATCAGAATGCAGCAAAGTTGGAATTCTCGATACAAGCACTTACGCTAATTTTATGTATTTATTTATTGGGGTTGAAATACCATAGGGGGAAAATTCTTAAGTAGATCCTGATCCAATAAAATTATTAGCCGAATAGATAAACAGTTCAGAATTTTTGTTTTGTCAAGCCATTTTGATTTTTTTTGTCTGGGCAAGGTTGTACGGATCTCTTTAACTATATCTTAAAAGATTTGTTAGTAAGTATAAAATTCTCATATGCTTAATCGTTGATTTTTTTCTTTATATGGTGGAGAGTTGTTCCTAGATTCCCGAGGGAGGGATATCGTTAACGAGATCCAGTTGCAGAAACTAATTTGATTATTTTTACAAAGTTCCACCTTTTCGGTAATTACGGCTTATTTTTTATTTGTTGGAAGTGTTGATCGGAGTGCCTGACTGAGTTGGTTGAATTTGATTGGCTAAAGTTAGCCAATCAGATTCAAACGCAAATATTTCAACTTACGATATAGAAAAATTGATTTTGGGCCGTTTAGTGCAAAAGACCCACCATTTTAACTGCCCATAGCGGCCAAAATTTTTGACCTCAACTGTTTTGTAGTGCTGCTCGTTAAACTACTAAATCATCAATGAAACACTGATATCATATTTTAACTTTTTTTCACATGAAATTGAAAAAAAACTATTTCGAACCCGCTTATTTTTGCCCTAACGTACCCTTTTGTTCGTACGCCTCAAAAACGTGTTAGTGATCGCCGTGCGCAGAATATAAAGACCAGGTGTATATCAACCAAGTTTTTAAAGTGAAAGGGGGTCACAGAGCAGAAGTTTGCGATTAGAAAGGGTGCAAGAGCAGAAAAATTGTATTACCAAACGTGTTACAAATTGATGAAAACCACTATTCAGAATCGTCGATATTGCGAATCAATAGACCAAATTATACATAAATTGATCAACTGATCAAGTTAAAGTTTTTTTCCGAAGTTTGATTTCAAAAAACTTTACCGAACCTATATACATGATTATATAAATACACAAAAAAAACGTGTATTTTTTTTATTTCAATATGATATGATTTTTTGGTTTACTAAATGGGTCAGGAATTGATGAAACCAATTATTCCGAATCGTTGATATTACGAATACATAGAAAAAGATCTACATAAATTGATCAATTTCAAGTTTTTTTTCGAAGTTTTTTTTTAAAAACTTAGCCCAACCTATATACCTGTTATATAAATACACAGAAGATCTCCCTGTTTTTTTTTTCCTTTCAAACTTATTACATTTTGTTTACTAAACGGGTTACAATTTGATGAGAAAAAGTATTCAGAATCGTCAACATTACGAATGAATAGAAAATATTATAAAATAAATTGATCAGTTTCAAGTTTTTTCCGAAGTTTTTTTTTTAAAATTGTTTAAAACCTATTTATGTGTTTATAAAAAACACAAAAAGTCTCTGGTTTTTTTTATCTCAAATTGATTTTAACTTTGATCTAGCAAACGGATCACAAACTGATGAAAACAA